GAGGCTGCGGTGGCCGGGAGCGTGCCACTACACTCCAGTCTGGGCGATGGAGTGAGACTCCAACTCAAAAAAGAAAGAAAGAAAATTCAGCTTTGTAATCCTCACATAGTTGCATATCACTAATGTCCAGGACATATTTGTTGGTTTTATTTAATGTCATTGCACAGTATCCCCATTGACTTCTAAACCAGAGGGACTGATGTTGGAAATCAGTGTTCTCAGAATTCCCAGGGTCCTGTATAGGGAAAACAAGAAGTCCTGATATTCCTTCAGTCTTCCAAGTGAAATTTAGCTCTTTCACTCCAGTCCTTACTTTCCTGCTGCATACACTTCGGCGGTGTCAAACAGGTTTACACCATGTTCATAGGCTACTGTCAGCACATCCTCTGCTATCTGGGGAGGTGAGAGAGAGTTGAAGATCAACTACTGCCCCTCAGTTACCTCCCTCACTGTACTCTAATCCATCACACCTCAGCCCTGGCCTCCACATTCTCTCCCCTTCCCCCATCCTCCAGCATCAGATCTTTCATTCCCCATGCTTGATGTCCAAACACTTATCCAGGTCCATTTCCCCTTTTTCTGGTCTCCCTCCCCCTTATTTCTGTGTCCATCATTTATACCTCATCTGAGATCTGAGAACCAAATGTGACCCAGGTGCCTGCAAAAGAGAAGTCAGGCACATGAGAACTGCAGGAGGCAGGCCATGAAAAGAATGCCCTCTTTCCTTAATTCCTACTCTTACTTACCCAGGCCAAGACAGGATACCCGAAGACCAGACTTTCCTAGGTTCCTGCAAGATACAGAAGCAGCAGGAAATGTTGGAGCCTACATTAAAGGCCTAGATTATTAGCCCCCAGCTCCTCTCCTTCCAAACTGAGTCCTCGGGGTATCTCAGTCCAAAGAAACTAGACCCAGTGAACCTACAAAGCTGGGAAAGTGCTATCTCCAGAACAGAGGCCCTAGGAATATTGTTAAAAGAATAGTGAACCAACACATGACTGTTCCTGTGGAGCCACTGTCTGATGCCTCCATTCTTTCCTATCACACTGAAGATGTGCTATCTGGTTTGTCTTTCTTTTGGGTGAGGTCTTGTCTGTGTTTGAGTAATCTCAGAGATATATGCAGTGGGGGGGGGGAGGCTGAGAGGAATTGTGGCTAGCTGACTGTGGTGAGTTTGTAAGGACAGACCCTCAGGCAGACATCAGGGTGGAGGAGGTAAACCAAGTCAAGTTTAGGCACTCAGGCAAGGGCCCCTGACTAGGTTAGGTAGATGTGCCTCCAGCAGAAGCAGATAGGAGACCTGGGGGGTGAGGAAGCGTATGACTAGGAAAACCTAGTTCTCCCTCTCCCCCTCTCAACTCCCTCTGCTCCTATTGGCTTGTGAAGACTGTCTCTGAACCAGTGAGCCCCCTCCTCCTCCCAAAGAGGAGCCCCCCCAGGTGTCCGCTTAGCTTCCCTATCAGGGCCACCACACAGAAGGGATCATTTTCCTCAGATGACAAAGCAAGTCAGATCAATGATCTCAGCTCACTCCCAAGCAGGAGCCCCTCTTCTCCCCCCCCCCCCCCCCCCCCCCACTGAGAGTTCTGAGAGGCCAGGCGCCCCCAGGTCTCTCAAAGTCAGTTCCACATTTCACTCCACCTTCCCTACCCCAACCCTGTCTCTCAGCATAGAGAGACAAGGCCCACTCCCCACTCCCCTTCCCCCCCCCCCAAGAAAGGTTGCCGGGGGGCCAGACCCTTGGGGGTAGGTGAGAGCAGTATCTGGGTCAGGCGCCCAGAGCAGAACAGAGTGAGAAGCCGGTTCCCTCTCTCCTCTCCCCAGGACGCCGACCCAAGGACACAGAAGGGGCGCGCAGCCTGGAGATCCGCGCAGCCTGGAGATTTATGCATCTCCGACCTTCCTAAGGGTGAGGAGGGAAGCTCAGGGGTATCCTCTGGGTCTGAAAGGACTCAGTCAACCTTGGCAATCTTGATTCCTTCGTAGTTGGGGGTATCAACGGAGATCAGGAGAGGGACAAAGTAAGAGAGTGCCGGTGGCAGAAAGAAGAAAAGTAACAAACGGGGTCTTTCTTAGAGAAGTTTGAAGGGGTCTTGGAGAAATCTCAGGAAGCCTCAGGGGTCCCGAAGGGGAAGCAAATGGGGCGGGCTGCCTGGCCACCCCCATACCTGTATTTCATGCCCGTGCCTCGGCCGGTGCTCTCTCGGAGGGCCCCAGTGAGCGCTGGGGGTCGGGGGACCAGTGCGGCTCGGGCCTTGGGGCCAGACCCCCCACCCCCCGGAGGATTCCCGTGCCCTCCGCCGACCGGCCCGCCATTACCGCCCCCGGGGCCCGGCCGGGGTCCGCACAGACGGTCCTCACTGCTCCGGCTGCGAAGGTTCTGCTCTGTACACGCGATAGACACCTGCATGCCCGCTGGCCAGGGCGGGGGAGGGGGCTCCGAAGGGACGGGGGAGGGGGCTCCGAAGGGACGGGGGGAGGAAGCACGGAAGCCCGAGGGCGGACAACCGGGACGTAGTGGGGCGAGCCCCTGGAGAGCCGGAAGGCTGCGGAGTCTGCGGCTGGAGCCGCCAGGCGGGATCGGCCCGCAGGGGCGGGCTGCTGGAGGTCGCGAGGTTTGCGGTGGGAGGGGAGAAACGCGGGGGGCGACAGGAGTGAGGATATTCAGTTGTAGGGGGCACTGGAGCAAGGGATAGGAAGGGGAAATGGATGAGGGTAAAGGTTGAAAGCAGTTCTCGGAAGGCAAGGATCTAGGGATGAGGGGGGCGGGAGAGGGGTGTCGCTTCAGCCCGAACCGCAGCGGGACCCGCCGGGCTCCCAGCCGCGTCGGCAGCTGGCCCAGCTTATCAACATGCAGGCACCGCCCCCTCATCTGCATAGAGCTGCCCGCCTTCCAGGCAAACCTGCTGCTCATCTGCATAAGCCCCGCCTGAAGAAGGTTCCGCAGCTTGAAATTCTGTGAGTGGAACTCAGGACGGTGGTACTTGCACCCTCTGGGATCCCAGGCCGGTCAGCTTCCCACCTGCCCAGTGGTTCTCACTCGGGAGGGATTTTGTCTCCCAGAGGACATTTGGCAAGGTTTGGAGAAATTTTTGATTTCACGACTGGGGATGAGGAGCAATTAGCTATCTGGCATTTAGTGAGTAGTCAGAAATGCTAAAATCCTACAAAGCACAGGACATTCCCCACAATAAAGAATTACCCAGGCCGGGTGCAGTGGCTCACTCCTGTAATCCCAGCACTTTGGAAAGTGGAGGCGAGAGGATTGCCTGAGCCCAGGGTTTCAAGAACAGCCTGGGCAACTGGGTGAGACCTCATCTCTACAATAAATCAAAAAAATTAGCTGGGCGCATTGGCGCACACCTGTAGTTCCAGCTGCTTGGAAGGCTAAAGTGGATGGATCTCCTGAGCCCAGCAGGCCATGCCACTGCATTCCAGATTCAGTGAGATAGAGTGAGACTCCAACTCAAAAAATAAAAATAAAAAAATTATCTAGCCCAAAACATCAATAGTGCCGCTGTGGAGCAATTCATTGGTAAAGTCACTTTGCAGGCTTCAGGGATGTGTGGCTATCCTACTTTTTGCCTTCATGAGTGGGGCAAGACTGAGAGGGCCCACTCATACCGACACACTCAGGCAGCAGAGGATGACAAAAAGTTTATTCTGTACTTCTTGCAGCATCAGATAGGGGATAAAACTGGAGAGAAAGCCTGGTTAGAAGGTGGAGGAACTCCTATGGGCTTCATTCTGATGATGAGGAGGGCACCAGGGCAGGCCTTTAGGCAGCTGCCTTAGGAGGGGCTTCCGATGGGGGCCCTCAGGTGGCACAGGTTTGGAAGGGCTGCACACAGACACTGATTCTCCTGAGGCATGAGGTAGAGTGCTTCAGCCAGCCCGGGCAGAGAAGAAGGGCAGAGAGCGAACATAGGAGTCCAGTCGGGAACGGAAAAGCTCACTTTGTACAGTTTGGCCCAGTGGACACAGGGGATTCTTCACCACCAGCTCCACATACAGCTATGGAGAGGGAGGGTGTTAGAGCCAGGCTTCTTGTTTTTAACACTTCTCAATTTTAACCCCAAACCTAGTATAAGTTCAAGGATGTGTGAATGCACAAGGAACAGGGGAAACTGAGGAGAAACTGGTGGTGACAGTGTTAAGGACCTAAAGGCCCCCGAGAAAACTCTGAGTTCAATACAGATACAATACAGTAGGATTAGGGCAGGGAAGCTGAGAGCCTTGGTATGACTTCCTATGACTGTTAAGGAGCTCTGGCGGGAGGGTCCCGGGGGCTGGCACTGACCGCACTGTAGATGTGGTGCAACACATCTCGTATGGGTCCCACGCCCAAGTCAGTATTCATGACAACCTTGATCCCAGTGGGCGTCTCGTAGTAATGGAGTTTGTAACGGCTAGTTTGGAAGGCCAGGAAGCCGTCCTTCCTGCAGAGATGAGGAGGATGTTAAAGAATGGGAATGGAATCTCTCCCAAAGAGATACTTCCGATCCCCTCAAGGTCGACTCCCTCTTCCTCTAAACATATCCTTTACAGAAGCCTGGTTAAGACAGTGCCCATCCTCACCCCTCAATTTAGCCCCTGCCCTCAACTTCTCTACTTTCAGACTTTCCCCACTGCCGCCCCTGCCAGATGCAGCAGTCACGCTCCATACTCAGTCACTCTTTCTAAATCCCCCCTTTCTCCACTCTGGGGGGCCAATGTCCCTTCCGATCTAGAAAATCGGAAGGAGCATCTCCCACCTCCAAGTTCCCAAGGCCAGCCCTCCTCCCAACATCTTTCTGGCTCCGCGTACATGTCTAGCGGGGACATCTTGCTAACAAACGAACGGATAGAGAAGAGCATCCCGTACATCAGCTTGTATTCCTGGAGGGAGAGGGGCAGAGTTAGCTCTCGGTTTTTCAAGGAGACGGGGTGGGGTTGGGAAAAAGTCAGGGTTTGTAGGGAAGGGGTTGGGACGACGCATCTGGAGATGCAAGGTCACCCGAGCTGCGCCGGGGCCCTTTTGTCACCTCCTCCTTGGGGATCCCTGCTTGCTTCTTGCGGTGCCACTCGCTGTAGTGCAGACACACTCCATTCCGGTCAAACAGGTACAGGTTGTGGACAGTCATCTGCGGGGTAAGGAGTGTGAGCCTCGCTTCGGGACCGCCCCCACTCCGTGAGCTCGGGTTCTCGGCCCGGAAACCCTACAACCAGGTGGGGGGATCCCACCCCACCCCCCGGACTCACCGGAACTGCTCCGAGCGCTCGTCAGGAGCTACTTCCGGTTTCCGCTCCGCTCCGCTCTGCCGGCTTTCTCAAGGAGCGGATAGGCATTAACCCCACCCCTATGCCGCTCGTCAGATTCGGCCTCACCCCTTCAGCCAATCCGTAAGCCTCGGAGCCGCGCAAGCGCACCCAGGCTCTCGGGAATTCGGAAGCAGTGTGAGCGTGGTCTCGCGGGCGGGTGACGTCATCGAGGCGAGAGAGGCGGGGCTGCGGACGGTGGGCGGGAGGCTGCCAACGGTTTTGAGTGCAGAGCGCGGCGGGAGAGGGGGTGTTGGCTTTTCCGGACCCGGGCTCAGCGGGGCTGAGGTGTGGGGGGTAGTCAGGGTAGTCGGGGTAGAGGATCTCAGGTTAGGCTTGAGGGCGGCATGCTTTTTAAGGAAGTCTGAGGTCGTGACGGATGGTTTACAAGGTTTCTTTTGGGGTGATTGGGAGGAAGAGTTTCTAGGGATCCTTGCTATGGCTTTCTTGCCTGGAGGGGTGGGAGGGGATGAACAAGGGAGTTAGTTGACCTTGGGTAGAACACGGAAAGTGGGCAAGCGTGAGGTTCCTGCCTGTCTTGAGACTGGAGCCAGTTGAGGGACAAGTTAGGCAGGTGGACAGAAATTGGGTCCCTGTTAGATTTGAGTCCGTTTCAGTTTGGACATTTTGGGTGTGGGAATTTAGGAGTTCAGATGACCAGAGACAGCCTGTGCCGAAATTGATCTGCAGCTTCCAGCTCTCTTAGTTGGGAAGGAGAACTGCGGTGGTACTGTTGCCCCATAGTAGGGTTTCTGTCCTCACCCACCTCTGCGCTGCACCGTCTTTTAACACGGTTCCAAGAAGCTGGGCAAAGGGATGCTTTTGCACTCTCCCATGGCCTCTGGAACTGGTGGAAACCTTTCCTCTAACCGGAAATCCTTAATACCCGCAATTCATCAAGGACTCGTGCCGTGGAGTCTTCCTCCCTACTCCCAAATCTTCCTTCTTGAACTTTTCATTCTGCACTTTCCTAAACTTCCAGCTTTCTGCTGTCTCCAGTTGCCTCTGCCCTGCACTCATGGCAACATCTGCTGCCAGCCCCAGTTCACCTCTCAGGGCAGAGGACCTCCTGAGTGATTCATCAGAACCCCCTGGGCTGAACCAAGTGTCCTCTGAGGTTACCTCCCAGCTTTATGCTTCTTTGCGCCTCAGCCGTCAAGCAGAGGCCACAGCCCGAGCCCAGCTGTATTTACCCTCCACTTCCCTGCCTCCTCATGATGTATTAGACGGCTTAGCACAGGAGCTGAGTCAAAGCTTGTCAGTCGGATTGGAGAACAACTTGAAGAAAAAGGTGAGGGAAGTTGTCTTGGGGACCATTACGAAACTAGATGTCAGAGTCAGGGGATTGGGGGTGGTTAACAACAAAAAAAACTTAGCTGAGATTTGGACTATTGTTGGATTTCATGTTCCTTTTAACTATATATTTAGTCATGCTTATTCCTGGGAGCAAATGTTTAGGAGGGCAACAGTGACCTCGTGTACCGTAATTTAGAAGACTAAAACTCCGTAGTGTTTTTTTGTTTGTTTGTGAGAGACGTCTCTGCTCTGATTAGATAGATTAAGCCTGTAGGCTAGGTTAGTGTGCTTTGACTAGGATCTGGAGACCGGGAGTGGGAATAAGGTTTCTTGATCCTAGGAGGGAACTAGGAACTTATGGTAGCAGCAAAATATGCTAAGATCCTTCCAGTTCAAAACTATTTTGATAGTGTGATTCAAAATTTGGAAATGTAAATCATTAAAACATAGTTTATGTTACAGAGAAGATAGAAAAAGTGTCATAATCAATTTGCAGACTAGTAAAGTCTTCCAGAATTTGAAAACTGACAGCCATGGGCTACATAGTCTTTAGACTGGTTATTTGTTCTTTAGTTGAGAAGAATTTTCCAACCACTTTTGTCTTATACCTGCCCAATTTATTCACTTACACTACCTTTCTGGCTTCCATAGGTATTTGAGTTGCTGACTCAAGGTTAAGAGATCCCTTTGTGGATCCATTTTGTTTTTCTTGCTTTCCGAAGTGCCGGAGTAAAATTTCTACCCTGGCACTAGGTAGAATATAGATTATGCAGATCGCATCTGATTTCCTTTTCTCTTTTTTTTTCTAGGATGGTTCTAAACATATCTTTGAGATGGAAAGTGTTCGGGGTCAACTCCAGACCATGCTCCAAACCTCACGAGATGCATCCTATCGTAAGTAAACCTCTTACCTAGAGCAAAAAAGGAGAACCTAGATTTAAGAGGTGGGAGAAAGTGGACAGAGGTAGCAGGCAGGAAAACCTAGACCTCTGAGCTAGAGATTTCAGGAGAAAAGACGCCTGTTCTTTGGGAAGGGAAGTAGGGGAATAGGAGAAGCAGAAAGGAAGGCCTTCTCCTTCTCTTTCAAGTGGCCCGTGCTTTTGTCATTACTTGATCCTGGCTATGGGGTCCCTCTGGCTGCCTGCAGGGGATCCCCTCATTCCAGGTGCTGGCTCAGAGAAACGGGAAGAAGATTCCTTTGACAGTGACAGCACAGCCACCTTGCTTAAGTGAGTTCTCCTTGGAGTTCTGCTGGGTTGCTTGCATTCTTGAAAATCCAGGTCTTCCATTTCTTAGTTCCCCTGTTTTTACTTTTATATCTCTTCAGGACCCAAGAGGCTTATCACTTAGCTCTCAGATTTCATCTTTTCTCTCCTATCTTCATCCCCTTTACTGCTTCGGGAACACGGGCATGCCTAATATCTGGCTTTTTCCTCAGTCTTCATTTCTTCTTCCCCTCAGACAAGTTAGCTTGTTTCTGCTAAGACTTTTAAGTGAATCACAGACCTGTGTTTTGCTTACAGCTCTATCACTATCTAGCTTTATGATTTCAGGCAAGTCTCTTGCCCTTTCTGGCTCTCAGTTTCTTCATTTGTAAAATATCACAGTTGGACTAGTGGATCCCCAAAGCTTTCCCATTCCTAACAATCTCTACTTAATTTGCTCAGCACCCGGCCCCTGCAAGACTTATCTCCATCTAGTTCAGCCCAAGCCCTGGAAGAGTTGTTTCCACGCTACACCAGCCTTCGGCCAGGGCCCCCACTCAATCCTCCAGATTTTCAGGGGCTGAGAGATGCACTGGATTCAGAGCATACCCGCCGCAAGGTGAGATTTAAAGACTTCCTTCTGAAAACAACAAAGATTAGAAAGAGGGGACTCAAGGGTTGAAGAGGGCTGAGAGATAAGAGCCTGAAAGCTGGGACTTGGCTCAAATGTTTCTCCCCTTTGACTGCCCTATCTAATATGGTATTACCTCCCCTCCAGGTAGTCTGTCAGATCACACTATTATTTCCTCATATCACTCTGATATATCTGATTTGTTTCTCCCTTCTAAAATTCTAAACTCCATGAGCGTCAGTATCTTGTCTTGTTCAGCACTGGCTATCTAAGGTCTAGAGTATACCTAACACAGAAGCACTCCATAAGTGTTTGTTGAATGAGCACAAGCTTTGCTATTATACAAAGGCTTTATAGCTATTGGTGATGTAACAAGCTTTATCTCTGTGAACTTCAGCCTCAGTGTCTGAAGGAGAAAGAGAAATGGACAAGGCAAAGGACAAGTCAGAATCATTGGTTGTCACTTTTTGGAATCTTCGCTTCCTCTGTTTTAAATTGCTTGGACGTGAATGAAAGACGCTCCCCTTTATCCTTACTATGTTTAATCGTTGTGTTCAGTGAGTTTCTTAAGGTAGAAGTAACTTTGCACATTTTGCAGTGTGGGCTGCTGCACCTCTCCCAAAAGGTTTTTGGGAATTTTTCTCAGGAGATCTAGGAAAGGGAAGAGCCTAGAACCTAAGTAGCTATTTCCTGAGAAGGTGGAAGGAGGTATTGAAGATCTCAGGCCTCAAGGTTCCTGCTCCAGAATTCCTGATTCTCCCTCTTCAAACCTATTCTATTCTTGGGACCCAGGCTCTTTGTCTCCAGCCCATTTCCTCTAGAGGAGTTGGAAAGTGTGTTGCTGTAGTCAGACTAAGGATGGGCAACACCCAGACTCTCACCCTTCTTCCCAGCATTGTGAGCGCCATATTCAGAGCCTGCAGACCCGAGTGCTAGAGCTGCAGCAACAATTAGCCGTGGCTGTGGCTGCTGACCGCAAGAAAGATATCATGATTGAACAACTGGATAAGGTGCCTGGGTAGCAAAATGTGGGTGGGTCTCTCCAAGGAGAACATTAAGGAATAGTAAATAGGGGAGTGGCCAGCCAATGTTTCTTTGCGTATGCTAAGAGCTGGGATAAAGAGTGGGTTTACTGTTGGGAAAAAGTGGCTGTTGACTCTGTCCCAGTGAGTAGAAAGAGGACAAAAAACTTCTTGTGAATCTCCATCTTACTTGCCTTACCTGAGACGCTGGCCCGTGTTGTGGAGGGCTGGAACCGGCATGAGGCTGAGCGGACAGAGGTGCTTCGAGGACTTCAAGAGGAACGCCAGGTGGCAGAACTCACCAGAAGCAAGCAGCAGGAGGTGGGCAACCCTGATTATATGACATTAGAACCTAAGCCACACATCTCTATATGAAAAGGACAGAAATAGCTCTGGAATTAGGGTCCCCAGTAGATTGACGATCCTGCAGTAGCTGCCCTAATAATTCTTGATCTCTCTTTCTTTTCCTTTCACTGTTCTGCTGTCACACCTGCATTGCCAATGTATTCCCAGTTTTTCCCGCATCTTGCAATCTCCTCTCTATTCCCTAAGTCATTTAATTAACTCCGAAGTTTCACCTTTACATTGTTTGTTTGTTTGTTTTGAGTTGGAGTCTCACTCTGTTGCCCAGACTGGAGGGCAGTGGCTGCTCCCGGCCACCGCAGCCTCAACCTGCTGGGCTCCAGTGATCCTTCCGCCTCAGCCTTCCAAGTAACTGGAACTACAGGCGCGCGCTACCATGCCCGGCTAATTTTTTTTTTTTTTTTTATTGTAAGATGAGGTCTCACCAAGTTGCCCAGGCGGGTCTCGAACCCGCAGGCTCAGGCAATCCTCTCACCTCAGCCTCCCAAGGTGCGGGATTACAGGCTGAGCCACCGAGCCCAGCTTCACCTTTACATTGTTAATGCCTTTTTTTGGGGGGGGGGGCAGGGTCTCTCTCTGTCGCCCAGGCTGGAGTACAGCAGTGCAGTCATAGCTCACTGCAACCTTGAACGTCTGGGTTCAAGTGATCCCCTCTCCTCAGGCTCCTAAGTAGCTGGGACTACTCATGCTTGCCACTATGCCTTGCTACCAATTTTTATTTTTATTTTTGTAGAGACAGAATCTCGCTACTGGCTGGTCTCCATCTCCTGACCTTAAGCCAACCTCCTACTTCAACCTGTTAAAGTACTTGGATTATAGGCGTGAGCTACTGCATCCAGCCAGTAAATGCTTATTGAAGTATAGCATACAGAGATTTCCCTCAATTCCTCTGTCCTATGTTTCTGTCTCCCTGAAAGACAGTAACCCGCCTGGAACAAAGTCTTTCTGAGGCTATGGAGGCCCTGAATCGTGAGCAGGAAAGTACCAGACTGCAGCAACGGGAAAGAGAGACACTGGTGAGACAATCAAACTAATTCCATTGGAGGCTGTTAATTATTTCTAGAGAGCTATGGGTGGAGATTTATCATTTAAGTTGCACCAGAGCAGTGTTTCCCAAATTGTGTTCCTCAGAATAGTAATTCTACTAGATATTCTACAAGGCTCTGCCACCAAGTAAGTTTGAGAGACTCTGCCAGTTGTATCCTCATTAGAATATTAGAATCATCTGAGGAATTACTTTAAAAATCTGGATTTCTGGGACCCATCCCCAGAGGTTTTATTCAGAAGATATATGGTGAGGTTGGGGGACCCAAATATATTTGGAAATTTTCTAGGTGATTTGTTCAGTCTGGTTTGGGAACTCTGCTCTAGGACCTATGTAAAAAAAAAAGGTATGAGATGAGACTCACTCGAGTTTCTTGGAGCATAAATAAAATGATTATCCAGGTGAGTTAGTAGCTAGGTTTGGAACTTGTTGCATACATGATGCATGCTTGCTACATGCATGCTGGTACTTGTAGTCTTAATAGACTACATTTGACAGTACTGATGATGGTTGTTGCTATTTGGCTAGTTCATGATTTTAGACTGGATTTTCCAGTCTCTTTTATCTTTTTCTTTTCTTTTTCTTTCTTTCTTTCTTTCTTTTCTTTTTTTGAGTCGAATCTCACTCTGTTGCCTAGGCTGGAGTGCAGTGGCATAATCACAATGACCATGTTTCATGGCAGCCTCAACCTCCTGGGCTCAGGCAATCCTTCCACCTCAATGTCTTGAGTAACTGGGACTGCAGGCATGCATCACCATGCCTGGCTAATTTTTTTGATTTGTGTGTGTGTGTAGAGATGGGATTTCATTTTGTTGCACAGACTGGTCTTGAACTCCTGAGCTCAAGTAATCACCAGCTTTAGTCCCAAAGTGCTGGGATTACAGACGTGAGCCACCACACCTGGCCTGCTCTTTTTTTTTTTAAGTTGGGATCTCACTCTGTTGCCCAGGCTGTAGTGCAGTGGCATGATCATGACTCACTACTATCCTTTCTTCTCAGCCTCCCAAGTAGCTGGGACTACAGGCATGTGCACCACACCAGGCTAATTTTTAAAAATTTTTCATAGAGACGAGGACTTGCTATGTTGCCCAGGCTCAAGCAATCCTCCTGCCTTGGCCTCTCAAAGTGCTGGAGTTAAAGGCATGAGCCACTGTGCCTAGCCTGAATTTTCTAGTCTTTGTAGAATTTCTTCTAATGATGAAGTAGCTACTGTATATTAAGTAATTGTGCCAGATACTGTGCTAAATACTTTATATATGCTTTTTACTTGAATGCTTACAAGACAGATCCTATTGTTATCTCCATTTTACAGATAAGGATGTGTGCCTAAGAACACATAGTAAATTATAGAACTAGAGTTCAAATGGAGATTTTTAACTTAGGTCTACCTGCCTCTAGGAGAGAAGCTCTTTATCTACTATAGTATAATCCTGAGATTGTCAACTATTTTATAATATATATAACATATTATATATTATATATACATAGAGAGAGAATTGGAATCTCACCCAGGCTAGAGTGCAGTGACATGCTCATGGCCACCGCAGCCTTGACCTGCTGGGCTTAAGCGATTCTTCCTCTTTAGCCTTTCAAATAGCTGGAACTACAGGCATGTGCCACCACACCCAGCTAGTTTTTTTATTTTTATTGCAGAGACAAGATATCACCATGTTGCCCAAGCTGGTCTCTAACCCATGGGCTTAGGTAAACCTCTTGCCTCCGCCTCCCACAGTGCTGGGATTATAGGCATGAGCCACCGCTCCTGGCTTATTTTTTTTTTTTTTTTTTTTTTTTAGAGTTGGAGTCTCACTCTGTCACCCAGACTGGAGTGCAGTGGCCGCTCCCGGCCACCGCAGCCTCGACCTGCTGGGCTCCGGCGATCCTTCCGCCTCAGCCTTCCGAGTAGCCGGGGCTTATTTTTTTTTTAATGGACATAATTCTTAGCAGACACATTGCATGGGGATTTGGGGGTGGATTGCTGGTGTCTTGAGGGTCTACTGAGAATCTTGATTTTCTTTTGGGGCTATAGGAAGAGGAAAGACAAGCCCTAACCCTGAGCTTGGAGGTAGAACAGCAGCAGTGCCGTGTTCTACAGGAAGAACGGGATGCAGCTTGGGCTGGGCAACGCAATGAACATCGAGAGCTGGAGACTCTTCAGGCTGCCCTAGTAGAAGAACGGCAGAACTGGATACAGCAAGAGCGCCAGCTTAAGGAACGCTACCAGACACTGCAGGAGGAAGGCCAGGCTCAGTTGGAAAGGGAGAAGGTAAAAGTGGCTCAGTTGGAAGAGTTGAGGAATGGGGAACAGATGATGGGTAAAATAAGTGGGATAGGATGTTAGAATATGGGGTATAATGAGACAGGGATGGAGAGTGAAGAACTATATGTGGGAGAATGAATGACCAGCCGGAATGACCGGGTGCATTCAAATATGTGGAAGACCAAAGAGTGAGATTAAACATGAATGGGGAGAAAGGAAAAATGGGAAGAGAGAGAAAGGAAGCTTGGATTTTAGGATTTTAGGATATGGAAAAATGAATTGGGGAATAGAGGTAATCAGGAGATAGGAATTGAGGTATGTCCTTATGCTTGATTTTTCTTTCTTAGGTGAACAGCCAGAGGGAGGCCCAGGCAGCTCGGGAGGCCCAGCAGCAGTTGGCATTGGTGCAGTCTGAGGTGCGGCGGTTGGAAGGAGAGCTGGATACAGCCCGGCGAGAGAGAGATGCCCTGCAGCTGGAAATGAGCCTGGTGCAGGTCAGGAGGCAAAGGGTTCTTAAGGGTTTTTTCCTGTTTGAAAGAAGTAGGTCTGAGGTCATTCTCAGGAGTCATGGCAGATAATCTCATTTCAGGAATTTGAGATTTATTTCATCAACAATTTCTGTGTAGTATGGGTAGTTTTCTGTCTTAAACTCAGAGCCATTCCTCACTGAGTGACAGTTTCCCACAATATGTCAGACAGACCTGGTGTTACTTTTAGAAATAAATAAATTTAAATCTATTAAAGATGCTTTATGTTATTTTAAAAGAGATGACATTACACTTAGTAGGTTGACTGTATGAGCAGACGAAGGCTTTTTTTTTTTTGAGTTGGGGTCTCACTCTGTCGCCCAGACTGGAGTGCAGTGGCCATTCCCGGCCACCTCAGCCTCAACCTGCTGGGGCTCCGGCAATCCTTCCACCTCAGCCTTCCAAGTAGCTGGAACTACAGGTGCGTACTACCACATCCAGCTAATTTTTTGATTTATTGTAGAGATGAGGTCTCACCAAGTTGCCCAGGTGGGTCTCAAACTCCCGGGCTCAGGCAACCACTCACCTCAGCCTCCCGACGTGTGGGTTTACAGGCTGAGCCACTGAGCCCAGCTAAGGTGAAGGCTTTTGTCAGAGACCTGATTCCAGTCATAAACAGTGTGTTTTTTATTTCTCATTACTTGAATAATTTGTATTAGTTCTTCTTATTAGGTTGAGGATCTAGGAGGGCAATGATTGTTTTATTTGCTTATGAAATCTCCCTAACAGTACATGGTCTGGCACAGAAAAGTGCTCAGAAATTGTTTGTCAGATATAATCAGACTTTGGAAAACATTTTCTAGCTAGCACATCAAATGTTTATTTTTGCTTTTATTTATTTATTTATTTTGAGTCAGAACCTCACTCTGTTGCCCAGGCTGGAGTGCAGTGGCATGATCATGGCGCACCACACCTTTGACTTCCTGGCCTTAGGGGATCCTTCTGCCTCAGCCTCCCAAGTAGCTTGGACTACAGCTGTGTGCTGCCACAGAAGTCTCTTTATTTTGTTTTCTTATTTTTATTTTTGTAGAGGCATGGTCTTGCTATACTTCTCAGGCTGGTCTCCAGCTCCTGGGCATATGCAATCCTCCTGCCTCAGCTTCCCAAAGTTCTGGGATTGCAGGTATGAGCTATTGCACCCAGCCAACACATTGAATTTTAAATTCAAACTAGTCACCCTTGCCATGGAATATAGCAAGGATTAGCAAACTTTTTCCCTAAAGGGCCAGATAGTAAATATTTTTGACTCTGTGGGCCATATAGTCTCAGTTGCAACTACTGAACTATGCTGTTAAACCACAAAAGTAACTATAGACAGTATTTAAACAAATGGGCTCAACTATTACAATAAAACTTTATTTATATAAACAGGCAGTAGAGGACTGAATTAGGCTGTAGTTTGCTAATCCCTGGAACAGAGGAAAGGGTTGGAGAAAACTGTTCTAGTCCATGGTAGAAACAGTATTGAAGAAGAAAGAATGGATTGGGAGTCAGGACTACTCAGAGTGTAGGACCAGCAGGAAGGGCTGGGGGCATCAAATAGAATTGTGACCTTTTTGGGTCTCTTTTTATGTATAAAATGTGTATAAAGGGAAAATTGATGAGTTTTTGAGAGGAAGCCACTCAGAGACTGTTCCTTACAAACGGTTAACTTAAGGAGATACCCAATTTCTGGGTAAGTGAGGCTGGCATTTGAGAAAACATACTCCTTTTATTTTCCATCTAGTGCTTTGAGTTGGAGGACTGATCACAGGGAAAAGTAATTTGTCATGATGGGCCAAGGGTAAAGACATTAGCAAACAATCCTGTAGCAATTTTAGGCTACTGAATGTGGGCACACATAATTACTATTCTTTCACTTCAATTCAGTAAGCCTGATGAGCAGCTTCTCATGTGAATTCTATGTTGCTGGGAAGTTTTGGCCAACAAAGAGTTCACTAGCTAGATAGGGGGTTTGTCTAGTACACATATTTTTGAAGTAGTATGATAAACACAATAATTGAGGGTAAGGAGAACTACTCATTTACTCAGATGTCATTTTCTTGTTTTTTTTTGAGTTGGAGTCTCACACTTGTTGCATAGGCTGCAGTGCAGTGGCACACTCATGGCCACTGCAGCCTCCACCTACTGGGCTCAGGTGATCTGTCCGCCTCAGCCTTCCAAGTAGCTGGAACTACAGACACATGCCACCATGCCCTGCTAGTTTTTGTGATTTATTGTAGAGATGTGGTCTCACCAAGTTGCCCAGGCTGGTCTCAAACCCCCAGGCTCAGGCAGTCCTCTCGCCTTAGCCTCCCAAAGTGCTGAGATTATAGGCTGAGCCACCGCGCCTGGCCTCAGATGTCATTTTCTTAGTGAGGTGTTCTCCCACCACAATGAGTAAAGTCTACAGGCCTCTGACAATTCCTTTTCTCCTTTCCCTATTTAATTTTTCTCTTTAGCACTTATCTCTATCTAATATATTACACAGTATATATATATTTTTTTGAGTTGGAGTGTCACTCTGTCACCCAGGCTGGAATGCAGTAGCATGCTCATGGCCACTGCAGCCTCAACCTGCTGGACTCAGGCGATCCTTCCACCTCAGCCTTCCAAGTAGCAGTAACTACAGACACATGCCACCATGCCTGGCTAATTTTTTAAAAAAATGTATTTATTGTAGAGATGAGGTCTCATCAAGTTGCCCAGGTGGTTTTAAACCCGCGGGCTCAGGCAGTCCTCTTACCTTGGCCTCCCAAAGTGCTGGAATTATAGGCATCAGCCACCACGCCCAGCCACACAGTATGCTTTTAAAATCTTGTTTCTTTTCTGCAAGGTTTACAAGTGCAAGGAGTTTTGATCTGTTTATTGCTGAGTCCCCAACACCCAGAATAGTACCTGGTTTATTGTGTTGTTCGGGTCCTCTGTTTCTTTATTGTTCTACCCATTATTGAGAGTTTTGAAGTCTCCAGCTATTATTGTAGAACTGTCTCTTGCTCCCTTAAGTTCTGTTCATTTTTTCTTCATGTATTTTGGGGTTTTGTTAGGTATATATGTGTTTATAATTATTTTTTATCTTTTTTTTTTTTTGAGATGCTGTCTATGTTGCTGAGGCTGGCTTTGAACTTCTGGGCTCAAGGGATCCTCCCACCTTCAGCCTCCCAAGTAGTATCTTCTTGATGTAACCTTTTTTGACTTAAAATCTATTTCATCTAATGATAATATAGCCACCCCAGACCTGTTTTGGCTACTATTTACATGGAATATTTTTCTTCCTCCTTTTCTTTTAACCTCTTTGTGTTTTTGTACCTAAAGTGAGTCTCTTGTAGACAACATATAGATGGAACATGTTTTCTTAAAATCTACTCTTTCAATTTCTGCATTTTTTTTTTTTTTTTTTGAGTTGGAGTCTCACTCTGTTGCCTAGACTGGAGTGCAGTGGCCGCTCCCGGCCACTGCAGCTTCGACCTGCTGGGCTGCAGCGATCCTTCCGCCTCAGCCTTCCAAGTAGCGGGAACTACAGGCACGCACTACCACGCCCGGATAATTTTTTTATTTATTGTAGAGATGAGGTCTCGCCAAGTTGCCCAGGCGGGTCTCGAACCCGCAGGCTCAGGCAATCCACTTGCCTTGGCTGCCCAAAGTGCTGGGATTACAGGCTGAGCCACCAAGCCCAGCCTGCTTTTCCCATTCTACTTTCAAGAATCTCTCTTTGCCTATGGCTTTTGACAGTTTGACTAGTGTTTCTTCATGTGGATCTTTTGAGTTTATCCTTCTTGGGATTTATTGAGTTTTTTGGATGTATAGATTAATGTCTTTCATCAAATTTGGAAAGTTTTTGACCATTATTTTTCCAAATATTTTTTTCTGCCTGTTTCTGTCTTCTTGTTCTGGGACTTCCATAATGCATATGTTGATATGCTTGCTGGTTTCTCACAGGTTACTCAAGTTCTATTCGTTTTTCTTCATTCTTTTTTAATTTCTGCTAGTCAGACCGGATAGTTTCAATTATGTTATCTTCAAGTTTACTAACCCTTTCTTTTGCCTGCTCTAATATCATTGAGCCCCTTTGGTGAATTTTTTTTTTTTTTGAGTTGGGACCTCACTCTGTTGTACAAGTTGAATTGCAGTGGCATGATCATGGCTTACTTCAGCCTCAACCTCTTGGACTTAGGTGATCCTTCTGCCTCAGCCTCCCAAGTAGCAGGGACTATAAGTGCATGCCACCACACCTGGCTAATTTTTCTTTTTTGAGTCAGAGTCTCACTCTGTTGCCCAGGCTGGAGTGCAATGGCATGCTCACAGCTACTACAGCCTTAACCTGCTGGGCTGAGGTGATCCTTCCATCTCAGCCTTCAATGTAGCTTGAACTACAGGCATGCACGACCAAGTTCAGCTAATTTTTTTATTTATTGTAGAGACAAAATCTCGCCTAGTTGCCCAAGCTGATCACGAACCCCTGATCTCAGGCAATCCTCTTGCCTCTGCTTCCTAAGGTGCTGGGATTGCAGGTGTGAGCCACTGCAACTGGCCTAATTCTTTGATTGTAGAGACAGTCACTATGTTGCCCAGGCTGGTCTTGAACTCTTGAGCTCAAGGAGTCCTCCCATTGTGGTCTCCCAAAGTGCTTGGTTTACAGGTGTGAGCCACCATGCCCAGCCCCACTGAATTTTAAATTTTATTTATTGTATATTTTTCTTTTTCTTTTTTTTTTGAGTTAGAGTCTCACTCTGTCGCCCAGACTGGAGTGCAGTGGTCGCTCCCAGCCACTGCAGCCTCGACCTGCTGGGCTTCGGCAATCCTTCCCCCTCAGCCTTCCAAGTAGCTGGAACTACAGGCATGCGCTACCATGTCCGGCTAATTTTTTGATATATTGAAGAAATGAGGTCTTGCCAAGTTGCCCAAGCGGGTCTCGAACCCACAGGCTCAGGCAATCCATTCACCTCGGCCTCCCAAAGCACGGGATTACAGGCTGAGCCACCGAGCCC